TGAAAGGTCCATGAGTTGGCAGGTTGTTTCTGGCCTTTCATAATTCGAAGAACCCAGCAAATTTTGCCGCAGTTGGATAGCTTGTCTTCCAATCGTTACTATTCTTCTTCACTGCCGACATCTAAGCGCCCTCGAACTCCCCCCTTTTGCTAAACGCTTAGGGAGCTATAACGCCTACCTTTCATTCTCGAAACAAAGTCACCATTCACACAAGCTCCCACTACACCATTCTAAAGGCCTCCAACGTCAGACCTGCATTTTCTTCCACGACATCTCCCTTTTCGGCCACTCAACTAAACTCAACCTCGGCTTAGCTTCTGTTCCTGCATGGCGGCTCTTGATGATACGCAGCAGCGTACCTATACGGCGTCTCGCTCTCAACGATATCTCCTCCTGCAAGCTCATGGCTCGGAGATTATCTCAGCCTTTCAAAACTCCCGAAGCAGGGTAGATGATGGCAAAGCAGTATCTTCTGCATGAAGATCCTTTCAACGGGGAAAGTGTGATGGAGACGTCATGAGGCTCGTTGCGCGTGGCAAGATGAGCCCGCAAGCGCTCATGTTGGATGGCGCTTGAAGTTTATCCATTGAAGCGACGACTCTCGGGTACTTTGACCATTAAACATGAACAAGGATATACAGGCGATACGTCGCTGTTATTCCGGCGTCTATGAGAGACATCAGTGGTACAATCATATACATCACGTACTTTCAATCCCTGTGGCGTTCTACTTTAAGAGGCTGTTGTCGCAGCGTTGCCTTTCCTTATGTACTGAAATGCAGACCTAGCATCTCATCACACCCATCTGTCGAGAAGTTTTGGCCATGGTGCGAGCAGGAACTCCGCGCCAAAGATGGTTTTCCGTTTCTTTTAAGTCCCCGTTTCAGTCACATTCCCGCTGAATGCACTGTGTGCTTCATGCTAGGAAGAAAAGAGGAACTTCCTTCGTCTATTTCTATCCAAAAACAGATGGTGCCTGGAATGTGGCGCAAAGCAACCGCTCGTTTCCCACGTGGTATGGAAGGTCAGTACCTAAATAAACATTTCTGGGGAACCCAGTCCCACAGAGCATTTATTGGTGGTATGGGACCTCGCGGCACATGATCTCGATCTTGCAAGCAGGCTCGTTCTTCTTAGTGTGGTTGGTTCTGTTGGAAATCTCGACCCATTGGGCGAATCTCGGGCTCTGGTTGACATACTGAGAAGCCGATTAAACACTACCATTGTTGCCGCTTATCAGTGGATGTTTCTGCCCGAAGCCGCTGGTACGGTGCAGACAGATGCTGGTTGAACTGGTCCAGATCAAGGAGCAAGCCCGATTACTGTCAGGACTACAAAAGTGGAACATCGAAGAAAGTGGATTGGTCTAAACCTTTTAGAGATCAGTGTCACATAAAAGTCTAAGCTCATAGAGGACAATGCTGCACCGGATGGCGTAAGCCGTGAATTGTGTTGGTGCAAATACGGCTCAGCAACAATTTAAATGTTCGTCCTTCACAACTGGAAACTCAGCGGGGTCTAGCTTCTATGTGACTTTCGTTCATTTGGGTGTTGGAGATATTTCACGGCGATAGAACGACCAGTGGTGAAGCTTCGGTCTGACAAATAATTCCAACGGTTGTTAGATTCAACACCAACAACCTCACTGTTGTAAGATGTCTGCGATGATCCAGTCAGCCTGCCAATCAGCCTGCCGAAAATCACAAATCTCCTTTGATACACGTGGACATCCTGGTGAGTAGCTGCTGAATCTCAGTAATCGCAGTTGGTCTGTCGTGCATGATCGCAAAGAAAGAAACTGTGGTGGTTTGCGGACCAGTCTGATGAGCCTAGTATTACAAGTACAGTGGCATTGAGAACATCGTCGAGCACGCAAAATACCATTTGAATACATCAAAACAACCCGTATGCCATTCAAATAGTAACAGCTTGATTTGAGAGCTAGTCTTCATACTATACTGCGGGAATGTATCATGCTTGAGAATGTTTATTAGTGGCCATTCCCTATTTAAATGGCTTGAATGATCTTGCCGCTGTGGATCATTGCAGTTCATTCTGGTGGCTTTCGTCTGAAGTTTCCGAAGTGTGAGCCTAGATGCTTGTTTCCCTCGTGCGGCATCCACTTACGATGCAGTATTCAATAGGATGACACACGAGATATTTGCCGTTAGAACATTCAGCAAATAGTACATTTTGTCGGGGTTTAGACATGCTTCTATTCCTGGCTCCCCTCCTCAACAGAGCACACTGCGGAAGTAGCCTGACATAGAGTATAAAGTCCATACCACAACCCTGCTTAATATCGTTTCCAGGATATTCAAGCCAGTAGATATAATTAGCTGTATAGCCCAGCAATATTCTTTCTCGAACCCCCAGTGTAGGACCGAAATCCCCAACCACCAACACAAGTTTCTAGCGCTTTGAAAGAAATGTCCAATCAGTACCTCGACCTCGGAACACCCGTGGAAGACTGGTGGAAAAAGCCTTGTTAGCCAGATAAAGAGCTACGCCATATTTTCCGCCACCAACTGAACCCACCAACCAGTCTAGTGTAGATAGTGCAAAAAACACCAACGCCAAGGGCCCTCCAACTTTGGGTTTTAGATGAACTATTGGTAACCTACAACTATCCAATTCCACGTGGCCCATCACCAACGAGCCTCCCACTCCCTTGGGCACGGAATCACCCATCTTGGCCCAGTGGCCGTCTCCTCGGTTGATTGCTCCCGAATTTTGAGTCTTACCTGCCAATTCTACTGGTTCGCCAATATCTACGCAGCCATAGGTTTACCGAGACGACGCATATCGAATTTTAGCTTTAGTTTGTCTCCATTTGGCAAGCACTGCAGCAAACTTGAGCAACAAGTGAGTTGTTGCCTTGACAAGCAGTCTTGCAACAAGTTGTGAGTTGCAAGTTGTAATGTTGCGAGCAAGTTTCAAACGTTGCTTTAGTACCTTACCGACTTAACAAGTAGTTGCAGTCCCCGATTCCGCCTTGCCGCACTCAAGTGCTCATGCACATGCCTAGTCTCAGTGTGAGCATCTCTTCTCATTTGCTTCTACTCTGTAAGGAAGATCATGGCTCGGTGTTCTTGCTCGGCCACATTCATGTTGTTCATGTTCTGAGCGGGAGCGGAAAGTTACTTGGTACGTGCTTTCGACATCATTCCTTCGTTATTTCCTTTCTTCTATAAAGATTTTGAGCAACTGAAAAGAAAGGGCCGGTATCGCAAACCGAACCTGAGAACATCACAGCGACACGAATACCCTCCTCGAAATGAACCAACAATGCCCGACACAATGCACGCTGCGATTCTGCGAATAACCTCCAAGCCGGAGGTGTGGCCACCACGACAATCACTCACAACTTTGAAATTATCGTCATGCCTAATTCAAATCATATTTTCTTACCAAGCTTGCTAACCGACTAGCCAAGGCAAGGTTCTCAAGCGAGGCAGAGACTCAAGGTACGAATCATGGTACCGTGCTACGGCGTGAAACCCAGCAATATTCATGCAATGTTTACGCCTACTTCCGGCGCTTGCGGGAGTGCGAAGTTGAGTCTTCGCATCTCAGAGCTTCAAGCGAGAGTCCAATGTTGATATGATCCTTGGTGGCAAAGTATTGGCTACCGTATGACAATTCTCAGGATAAATGGTGACAGTCTGGGCGGTTCCATCGTAGGTCCTCACTCGGTGTTAATCGCCCAAGGTAAGTACGTTTGGTGCAGGTAAACGCGTAGTGTGGTTATGTGGGTTACTCTTCACTCCCGGACGTAGATGCATCCTCCCAAATACCAAGTTCGGACATTATTTGCAGGTTCAACTCGTTGAGGGAATTTGTCCGGTCAAATGCCTCTACGAGATTTGGCGTGTAACATCAATTCGGACTTGAACTACATAGACACAGTTGTCGGCAGCGAGGGTGGCATGGAACAAGGAAATGTACCGTTGGTGAGTAAGTTTACGATTTAGGAGGAAAATCGAGGTTTCGTGCTCAAAACTTTGCAAGTTTCAATTGAGTCATTGCCTCCTTCCCGTTTTCCCTACTATGCTAGTAGTACTAAAAAGTGGGCTCGGTTCCCTCCTATCAAAAATATCAAAAATATGAAGCTTCCCACAATGGCAAAAAATTATAAAAAGGATACAGGAGAAACTCCCCGGGAAAGGCTTGAACTTTCAACCTCTCGATTGCAGGTATATTAACAGTCGAACTGGGGAGAATTAGTAATTTGTAGATGTGTAGTGGAGAATGGAATACTAACCGCGCTAGCCAATTGCGCCACCGGGGATGAATTGTTTGTTGGGGCGTGTTCTGCTTATTTGAACTTATATTGTTGCTTGCCAAAGTGGGTCGTTGTTGTATGATATGTGTGCCGGGGTAGGTCCGCGAAGCGAATCAACCTTGCATTCACTACTTTAATGAAGGAACTTCGAGTTGCTCCTTCCTTAATTATGCGGTAACTAGACGCATAATGTTTGGACATCAATTGACTGCTTCTGGTTATCTGGTGACACCAAGGTAATAAGTAATGGCCAGATATTGCCTGCAGAATTTTCCTCTCGCAAATTTAAGACTTGCATCTCCCTAGAAATGAGTCACTTGAAAATAGAATGTCGGCAACAGGACTTAGCATCTTTTGATTTACATGACGATAGGAGGAACTCAGTGAGAATCCAGTACTTCTAGACAACGATAAATGTTATTCAAGCATCAAGACGTCAATTAGCAGTAGAATTTTGCCCTGAAAGCATGAAAACTACAAATTAGATAGATTTTGGTCCGAATTTCAAATGTTCAGAATGTTGGCCTGCAAATGACCTTCAGCCATATCGACAAACACAAAAACATAATTTATCCGGTTACATTGCCGTTCTGACCAATTATCTTCCCTGCAGTAGGAAGTTTTCCACTCTGGCTGTGAAAAAAGTTCCTTTGGACCCACCTCGTCCCCCTCCTTCATAAATCTCAATAAGCACTTTTTCACCACAACCATTCATGGCCTGCTGGCCCAATGGCAAGGCGCTTGACTACGAAGCAGTAGATTTATCAAGAGATTGCAGGTTCGATCCCTGCGTAGGTCACTCACTTTTTGTTGTCTTTTTGTTGTCTTGGTGTTGTGATACTTCGTTTGTGGTTTTTGGAAGTTTGGGGTGAGAGATCATCTCAATGTGAACGACATCACCAACAATTGGGCCAGTCCCCATTCAGAAATCTTTCCTTTCGAATAGAACTTTTCTTTTTGTTTCGAATCCGGAGGCGATCGGCATGTTTGAGAGGTTCTCAATGGGATAGATAGTTTCGCCCTGGCCTTGAGTTGGATTTTTGACAATTGCGACCGAATATGTCAACTCTACCAATCGTGTATCAATATCATGTATATATTTAATTAATCAGCAATTTTATATTGGATACCTACGGATTTTCTATTTGTTCGCTGCTCTCGAAGCCAGCTCCGAATACAAATGTGGGGTTTCAAAGGTTGTCTATATTCTCAACAACAGGTTTTCTTTCTTTGAGGAGTTACTGTTGCCAAAGTTCTCTGTTATGCTACATAGAGTTGCAGTTACCAATATCAACAGTTTTGTATGTATCAAGAGGAACCATATCGCCAGATCTCGGGAAGTGTTTCCCACGTGTCTCGGTAAAGGAAAGGGTACGATGGTTTTCTCGGCGTCCAATTCAACGCCCCTTTACTCTGTTGTGGATAAAACAAAGTCGTAAGGTATCTGCTTGAAGTATATTCGTTTGCCAAATTAGCTGGTATTCGACAGTGTTGACAGAACGGTGCGAGAATGCAGGTCTGTGGAGAACACTCAGTTATTGAACGCCGTGTTCGTAGATGTGAATACTCAGCATCTGGCTTCTATTTACCGCTCGCATTTCGAGAGTATGTTTCAGTCCTCTCTGCTACATGGCAGCTGTTGCATCTCGAACGTAACTCCTTCGAAATGGCTGGCGTTTCCTGGCTCCCTGTAGACCAAAAGCCCCGGACCTAATAATTTATAGGATGATTAAAACAACGAAAAATGTGCTACAGTGACATACAAATCAAAACGTTCCTTGCCTCTTTGAATAGTGTTTTAATTTCATCCTCTTCAATTTTTGCCCGCCTGTGGGATGGTTCTTTTCTGTCCACCGCGAGCCTGGCTAAAGCATGCTTTTCCAAACTTGAAAGCCATAACCTACCAATTCTAAAACGTTGACTTTCCGGTATCCCTTCCTAGGACAACCTTCTTATGTAAACTGTTTTCTTGCATTCGAATGATACAAATATGCGCTCCCGGAATTCGGGTTTGTTGTCAATCATGGCGCACGATGAAGTTGCCACATAAGAGTAGAATCTCATCACTCTACTTCTTGGAAGCAAGACTGGATTGGAATGACTATGAGAGTGAACACTCTTCTGTGGTACAAACAGGTATTAAGAAGGCAAGTCCCCAAGGTCACAATCATCAAATAGAAGAAAGCCGGATGAAATGTGCGAGAGAAGTGGGCAGGTAGATTCGACATGAACATCGAATTCCAAGTGATGAGATGCAACGTCAAAGACATTAAAGACATAGATTTGTACTTGCTGCTACTCAGGGATGTTCAACCTCCCGGCACTTAACATGAAGTAATTTGAGGACTTTGCAAGGCAATCTTCTGGAATGTGTAAGTAGAAAGATAATTCAGAAGATTTTGCTCCCGATGCTCCCAGTTCTCGTAATTTTCGAGGACTGCTTTATTCACGACACGCAGGTTTGTAGTGGCCAGCAACTTTCCACCTATAGAACAGGACTGTTGCCTGATATCTGTCTCGATGCTCGTCTCGGAAATGGTCGGTTTCTGGTCAAGTCTAGCGTTAGTATTGCATCATGTTCGGGATGTGCTTCCTGATTTAGATGAACAATTTGTGTGCGCGATAAGAGCAGTATCAACGGACCGTAATGCACACGGGGAGATGCAGGCTTGTGTTGCTAGGTGAGAAACGTGAGTGTCGTGGAGAAACATATAGTCAAGTAATATTTCGGCTGTGCTTATTTGAGAAGAGACTATTCGGAAGTAGAGAACAACAGAACAAGTGAGTGGGACTACGTTCTCGAACACGTAGGTTTAATCCCGGCACTGATGTGCTGTCAAGATTATCATGTTCTAGTATGCTTGTCCGGATGGGATTGTGCTGAGAGTAGAAAGGAGAGAGAATTTGAGGTAGGCTTAGGCGAGACACACATGCGGTTCTAGAACGAACGCCACGTCAATTCTACCAAAGTTAGCCGTGGCTTTTCATGAAGTATGCCCCGGAGGCTGGAACGGATAGAAGATAGAAGATGGCTTCAGACGGAGCAAGGTATCATATCTTGCTCAATATGTAGTTTTCATTTCAGACGCTGATGTGTTGTCAAGCCCCGCTAAGTTCTGGTTGATCTTATCGCACCCCCAAAGCCACTTCCAATTCAAAGATCACCAAACATGATCTGATATTCCGAGTGATAAGAGGGGAAGATCTACCAAAATTCCAGCCTCCCCCCACTTCAGTGACATATGAGTAGAGTGCCAGCCTTAGACAAAGCAGGATAACTTCAGCCCTTATAGACATCAACACTTGACAACGCTTATCTGTGGATTCTGTGTATGTTTAAGATGTGCATGTTGTGAGGCTGGGGAACTCTGCATAGGAGGAATATCAAGATAGATTTGGAAGTGCGTGCATCTTCCCGAGACGACAGACTGTTTCTCCGGTCTTGTAGGACCTGTCACTCGAGGGTTCATCATCAATGTGCTAACTCGAACTGAGGAATATATTGTCGTTCCCGGTGATCTCAGAGTGGCATAGACTATCGCATGATATGTCCTTGAAACTTCAGATTCAAGAGATTCGGGCAATGACGAATTAAGAAATGTGGTACAGCTTGATCACCTGCGAAGATAACACTGCAACGTTTCACGACGACCACCACTTGGCGACTTACCAACTTACAACACAAAACTGCGTTGCTAGTCCGTCCTCTCACTTGGAAGGCTGGTTGCAGTTCTTCGAGTTGAAGTTCCTTAATTGAGGGGTTTGTGTTGTGAAACTTGGCCATACGCGAGGTCTTCAAGTTCTTGCCATGGTAGTTCCGAAGATATGGTTGCGTGCAACTAGATGTCTGCCCCGCAGGGCCGGGTACAGACTTTCACTGACTCGTAATATTTCTGTGGCTCCTTTCATTACATGTGTACACTGAATATTGGTCAGCAGAGTTGCGGAAGCGTTCTAGACCTTTTCGTGAGGGGGATTGCCTCAATCAATAAATGCATATGAAATAAAAATATGATCTGATCTGACATAGTGATGGCTGGGTCTTCTGGTAAAAGGCACGGAGATTATAGCCGACCTTGAATCAGTACAACCGAGCTATTCTGAACAAAGATTCTGGGCTAGAAAATGCAAAAGATGCGGAGACTGAAAAATATTCACAAGGCAGGAAGCTAACGCAAACTTGCATTTTACCTGTGGACGTGGCCACAGAGAGGCAATTTACGGCAATGCAGATTCGCTTGGGTAACTTGTTGGTGAAGCCGGTCACACCAATGCAAGCAAGGTCTAGTTCTAAACTCAGGAGCACTCGCAAGGAGACAATACATGAGCAGCACTCGAACAGACATACTGGAAATTGTAAACCTCTGTGGCTTTGGCAGACGGTAGGTGTACTCAGGAGCGAGAGAGGGGAGGAGAGTAGGAAATTAATTCAAGACCCCGAGGATTGGGCCATATAATAGTGCTGTGCTCAAAGATCACCGAGAATGACAATGGCATCTAGGGAGGAAGGAGGAGGTTGGCAAACACCTGCAAGCTCCCAAAGGAGCTGTTTTGGGGGCTGCTGTCTTGGAATAATACCACATTCGGCAGGAGAGGCCGTCTGAAGTAGAAATCCTCCCTCCTTTCCTCTACACTCATCCTCAATGAATTACGCCGTACCGTAACATGCTGAATCTGAAGTCTTATTAGAACTATTCGTAGTCACCCCTTACGAGATATGCCACGTGCAACTAATCTACTTCTGGATTTCTTAAATATTTCGTACGATGGGGAATTGTATCCGCAAACCTCATTATGAGGCTCTGGAAACAATCTCAAGAACAATAGGTCGGACAAGAGGTCTTTGGGTCGTTGTTAGAGATATCAAACTTGGGCTTCTGCAGCAGCTTTAGGCGGTGACGTTTGTGTAACTTTTCTCCTGGCGCACGGCCCATGACCGCCACTCCAATGCGAAGAACATGTTTCTTCCGAATCAATTGGGAGACATGGCGTTAAAGATAGCGTTGAGGATCGAGACCGAGTCTTGGATTTAGTCGTTCGAGAGGTCAAAATGCTGGCGGCCGAATTGTCACCGACCACTGCAGCAATCTTCGTTAGCGTTCGACTGTGACTGGTGAATAGTGAGTGTGAGGTGATAGGTTTTCAGACCCCATTGGGCCTTTCTATGGCAATCGAAACAATGCCAGCAAATAACATCAGTAGGAGCGCGTTCTGCAGGCTCTCGGAGCTGGCGGATCAGGAAGAGTTGGAGTGGTTGAATAACGAGTTCAGGTATGGGGTGGTTGTTTTCCGCGTAACCCACCAATACGAATCCTTCTTCTCGCAGGTTTTTTGTCGCTTCGATGGGCTGAAACAACGGCATCTCTTCTGGGCAAGCTCTGGCAGACTCTTTTGCTGGCTGGACTTAGAGGCTCCGCTCTCTGGCAGGTGGAGATATCACATGAAGTCAAGGCCCGGAGATCGGCTGGGAATGCTGGGTGTGGATCTCGCCCTGCAACTGCGCCCTCGCACAAATCCCGTTTGGTGTTGCTGGTTCTGCCATCGTTCGAACCACGGACTTGCCAGGTCTTGGACTTGGGGTACGAACGTGGCGGAGTCACCATGGAAAGGCCCGCTGCCCGCTGCCCGTACGGTACTCCGTCGATGAGATCGGACGCGCCTGACAAGCCCGGTGTTGCTTTTTGGTGTCTCCTGGCCGGCGAGGGAGCCACGAGGGAGGGGAGTGCAGGAGCGCAGATTCGCAGATTCGCAGATTCGCAGATTCGCACACAGAATCGCACCATCAGACGCCCCCGCTGT